CGTCTTGGAGGCACTGACCTGAAGGCCATGTCGGGACAGGGTGGTGAGTACCTCTCGGATTTTCCTGTATGCATCCTCAAGCTCCCGACCCGAGGAAATTAGCCACTTGAACAGGAAGTCATCTGCAAAGGTGGTGTTGGCAAGGGGGAGATCGTTCCATTCCTGCTGCATGCCTTTGAGAATCCAGCCAGCCACCAAGGCCCACAGGATGGGCGACAAGGAGCAGCCCTGCCGCAGGCCTGTGCGTAAGTGGGCGACACCTTGCAGACCACAGTGATTGATTTGGATCTGAGCCTGATTGTGGATAGCCATGACGAGCTCGCGCAGCTCCAGGGGACACCAGCGTCCTGTAGTGCTAGCTGCAGGGCGATCCTCTGAACCGAGTCATAGGCTCCTGAGATGTCAAGCGATAACATCAGCCCGCCTGCGAGCTGTTTGCCTCCTTCGCACTTGGCGTAGAGGGAGTTGCCCTGTCTGGCCAAGAGGGAGCGAACTGAAGCGCAGTGACTGGCCACTCTTTCCAACGCCTGGGGCAGAGCGCGGTCCCGAACGTAGGCGAACTGAGCCACTTCCTTAAGGTACTGCGTCGCGTACCAGTCAAGCTTCGAGGCCGCAACAGCTGCTAAGATCTTTGCCATGGGTGGTAGCAAACAGATGGGGCGTAGTTGACCGACAGCCGTGAGAGCTTTGCCTGGTTTGGATATTAGCACAAGCTCACTGGTACACCATGTTCTGGGCAGTGCCAACGGACCTCGTCTGAGAAGGCCAGGCTGCACTGTATCAAGGGAGCCAGGTTCTCGCTGAGTGCCTTCCATACCACAGCAGGGGCAGACCCAGACGGCATGGCCTTTCCAGGTGACATGCGCTTGACGGCCTCCCATACCTCGGCCTGAGTGATGTCGATGTCCTTGCTCAGGGTATCCGCCTCCTGTGTCGGGCCATGGTAAAGAGTCTCAAAGTGCTGTAGGATGTCATGAAACTCAGTGTAGGGCACCGGAGCTCGTCTTGATCTGGAGTCTTTGCTTCCTGGCTTTAGGAGCAAATTGTCGTGCTGCCTGGTATACATTTGAGGAGGCAACCGCCTGGGCTATCTTCTGAATCTTGACTTGCCGGCCTCGTTTGCGAAGTTCCCTTTGAGCTGCCTGGAGCCGGGACATTTGGCGCCAACCAATCCAGACTTCTGCCAGAGTGGCCGGAGTGCCTCGAGAGTTGACCATGCTGGCCCTGCCCGGGAATTGGCACGGAGAAGCCACATTCGCCTGACAAGCTGAGATGTAGCAAGGTCACCTTCGTCATGTAGTCTGAGGTTTTCGGCTTTCCCAGCAGAGCGATGTTGCTGGGTGACGTGGCTCCAGCCTTGCATAAGCTCTCTGTCAAGATCAGGCATCGGATCATTCGGTAGCTGCTCCAAGCCAGTGACATGCTGCCGCATTCGGCTACACACCTGATCATCGGCCATGAGCTTCTGTGCCCGGGATGGCACTGTCCGTGCTATCCTGTGAGGGCCGTGCTTGGGAAGCTTCGGCATCGGCACCGTGGCTGTCACCGGTCTGTGGCGGCAGCCAGGCACAAAAGGCGCATCAAAGGCCCGAGCTAGCCTGGCCTGGGGATCACACAGTTCAGCTCGGACAATGATGAAGTCGATCTGAGTACCTAGGGTACGCGGTCCAGCCGTTGGCGGCAAAAAGGTTCTCGCCGGACAACCCGACTGGGACCAAGAGTTGAGGATCCTGCCATCGGCTTGTTTCAAGATTGCCTGGAAGGCGTCCCTGTCTTGCTGAGGAGGATCAGCAGCTCGCATAAGGCCTGGGCCAACCCAAGGTATTTCGGTTCTTGCCGGGGTATTGAAGTCACCCAACAGCATTAGGCCATTTCGCAGTGGTATCTGATGAACCCACTGGGAGATCTGCTCCCAAACTTTGGCTCGTTGCTGCACCAGTTGCTCAGCTCTTTTCGAGGCCTCAAGACTCTGCTTCCCCATGTTCCATGCTATCTGGTACACACATAGAACATCTAACGGCACCTCAAACAAGAGCCTGACATGAAGGAGACGGCCATGCTGGAGGACGGTAAAACGTAGACGATCAGGAGCCACCAGCCCTTGCCTGATAAGGCAAAGCAGCCCTGCCTTCTCTTTGTTGCCCGTGTGGATAGCATGGTATTGAGGACCTGACCCATCCAGCGCACGGGTCGTGAACTCCATTTCCTCACGCCACGACGTCTCAGGAATACACATCAAGTCCACCTGTCGCCCTTGTCGAGCCTCGTCCTTTAGCCAAAGCAAGATCTCTTGATATGTTCCCGAACCCAAACCGCCGCAATTCCAGCAAACGACCCTGAGGCGTCTGCCCGGCCTGCTCCCCAGGCCTTGGGCTCTGGACGG